ATTGCTGCTGGTAAGTTTAACACAAGAAAATGCATGTAATATGCGAATGAAGTTCTGAATTTGGAAGGGATAACCAAATACTTTATTTCAGACAATAAATTCCTTTAGACATTAATTCCTTTAATGCACATTTTTTATACTTTCAGGCCATGCAGGAAGTGAAATGGGCTTCCCTGGGTTACTAGAAATTAGAACACAATCAGTCCTGGATAATGGCCGAAACTATTCTTGATGGAAAATATACAGTGCATTGACAACTTATGCTCATTGCCTGTACATTTTGTTACTGCTGGGACTCTTGAGAAAGGAGACATTGTGAAACACAGTTGTTCCACTAGACATGTACAGTATGGTGTCTCTTGCTGAATCAAGTAACTATAATACTCATAACTATTTTCTTTCAGAATAGGTATTTACAAAAATCAATACTACGGGAAGAAATACATGGGCTTCTGATTCACACAACTGAAAGATATAATTGCTCTTCATTTCAGTCAGATTAAGCTCAGGGTCCTGTTTGATGTTTGAGAATTGGACAGCAGAATCTGACAGCAGGGTGTGCATTGGTTAGAGTTGTCCTGGACACTTCTTCTTAAAGTCTCGATGCAGCTGTGTTTATTTCTAACATCGGTGTAGGTCAGGTATTGTTAACAGAGGCCTGAAAATGAGACAGTTGTGTCACAGAAAATGGAAGAAAACCTCTCAACAAAACAAAATTAGAAAAGAAAGTGGGAGAGAATGTGTATATAAAATAGTTATTTCTGAGTTTTACATTGCTAAAGAACATTTTTAAAGGAGACAATGTTAAAGCTGTTGTGTCTATGCTTGGAGATTTCAGAATCAAATATGTGGGTCACATCTGATGTACTCTTGAGCAAGTCTTCACTCTAAATTGCTTCAGGAAAAAGCAAATCCTTCCATCATCATAATAATTATTTATTTTAAGTCAATGTATTAAAACTAGCAGGTGGAAGAAGACATTGATTGCTAAGAAAGCATTTTCAGTTCTGTATTTTTCAACACTGGATAAACTACAGTTTCAAATGATTAATCATTATTTGTTTGATGCTTAAGGATGTCTCTCCTGAGAAGAAAGCAATGAACCCCTCCCGAGGTTTCTTGAACATACCTACTAGTGTCTGGTACTGGAGATCTGTTCTCTGTGTATGAATTGTGAGGATGGCTCAATTAAAATAAACACAAGCTAACCTTTACCGAATCTTGCAACAGTGGTGGACATTTGCCCT